TGGAAACAATAAGATATGATACATAATATATACATGTTGAAAAATGTATACAAATTCTTAAAAACATGATAAATATATGATTGCAATTGTGGGAATCCAAACTAAAATCACATGTATTGTCGAAATCAAATATTATAAATCATTATTATCATAAAAGTTTTAGTGCTTTATAAATTAGATGTTTCATTGATAAGTATCAGATATGGATAAAGTATTCTAAAATATGGGATATTGATAGGATATAATGTGTGCATGAAAGAAGTTGTTAGTTAGGTTGGTGGGGTGAGAGAGACTTCCTTTATATAGTTGGGGGGTCCTGAAATGCAGAGCACTTTTGGTTAATTTTGTAGATTGAGCTTTAGCACCAAGGGGAAACCCTTGGAGGAGAGAGGACTCTCCTATTTTTGTGTTCTTTTCAGTCTATACAATCTATTATACCATAAAGAATATTACTCTTTTTTCTCTTTTCAATTTTGGGTTCTTAACAAATATTAGTAGATTATCCTAAAATATCAGATACAAATATATGTCGGATACATTTATATGACACAAATTAAAGTATCAGCATATCATAGATTATGAATACCAAAGGTACTTTTATATTAATTGAGCTTAAAAGAAGCCCACAAAAACATCTGGTGGTATTGACGGTAATTTCAGTGGTGCTTGAAGGTATATTGATGGCCTTAATAGGGTTAGTTTCTTTGCATGTCTAAAACCAACTAGACAAATCATTTTCTTAAGACCGGATACTATATTACTGTGGCACTGCTTATTTACAATGAAGATGGTGTTAAAATATGGACACAATTCATGTAGGAATAATATGGAGACGGGTCTGAAAAGATTGCTTTTTATATTGATTAGGATTGTTTTCTGCTGTTATTTCTTGTAGTGGCAGTACAAGAACAAAGAACTGTGTCAACCACAGTAATAGGCTCTACTGTTGGTGATTCTTCACCTCCTGATGGCATGCTTCCAAAAGAGAAAGGTGAGGACAAATATGAGCCTCTTGGTCTTCAAATTCAGTCTATTCCTCTAGGAGTTGCACCAAGCAGCCAAGACATGAAGCCATCAATCATGGAGACTGAATTTAATATAGAAGATGGAATCAAGGTTGGTCCCAGTATCGAACACCAGTTCATCCCGAGCTTCTTCGGTCGGTCTCCGTTGCACAAGAACAGCATACATGACAGAATTTCAGCAGAGAATTTATCTTCATTGAGGAATAACTGTGATGAAGATTTGTGTGTTTCACTGCAGCTTGGTGACAATGAGGCAAAGAGAAGGCGCTCTGAAGCCTCAACTAGTACTGAGGAGCCTCAGTGAAACAAACATTATTTTTCATAAGCTGAAAAAGAACTGACTTATAAGTTTAATCACTCCGGAATGTGTTGTTTATGACCACTGTGGTGTGTGTTTATGCTTAGCAGCTCTGAAAATTGTCAATGATGTGACTATGGGCAATCATTTATGGTCTTGAAGGGCCATTTACTTTCTGAAAATGCCTGAAATTCTGAACTAAAGTATGTCACTTTTGAATTAACGTGTGCATACTTTGCCAGTTAACTGCTAGCTCACATTCTATCACACTGACAATTACCTATATATTCTGATGAACGGATGGCTTGAGTTGGACTTTTATGTGTTACTTCCCCTTTTCAGCAAAATATAAAATTGGGATAATTTCAGAAGAATTTTTTTTATTGGATTGGTTATCAAAGTGTTCTGAATAAATTCCTTGTTTGAAACCAAAGTTGCAACCTATCTCCCCAAGTTTCAAGCCTTTATTCTATGTCCAAACTTCAATCTCTTCTGAATAAGCCATCTTTCTACTTCAACTTATTTTATGTCTAGTCAGTGTCTATATTACGAATTTATTAGGACAATTTTTTATATAGACTTATAAGAGAAAAAAAAAAGAAAAAAGGTTTATGCATAATTGATATAGACGTCTGTTTATGACAGTTTTTTTAAAATGTTATTTCTAATTCATGAAATAAAATAATTTTAACTTTAACAGACACTCGATCTTTTTTACTACGTGGAGAAATTTATCCAACAGAATCTTAATAATAGCACTGGTTAAATTTGTCAAAAAGAAACCACGTGGCATGTGTACAACAACTCTTAGTTACTTTTATTACGAGACAGTAGCTGTAATGTTCGGTTTTTGTACAGGTTAAAATAAATAGCAATGCTTAGCTAGTTTCATGTATTGATATTCATTGGGTTGTAAAAATCATAATCCCCTGAAATTCTCATTCTTTCACGCTATCATGAGTTTAAGTTAAGAGTTGGATTTTAAGTCTAACTCAATCTCATTCGGTTTGTAAAATAAGATTTACATCCACTTATATATTATAAATTAATTTTATCTCTAGTTGATGTGGGTCTTTCAATAACTTTTTTTCTTCTAAAATATTCTCTTTTGAGTTCTTGAGCTCTTTTATGCTTTTCTCTCAACGATATGCTCTTATGCCTTTTTTCTCTTTGTATGATGTTCTCTTCTTAGACTATTCTTTTTATTTTTTCTTCGAATCATCTTTTATTTAAAAGTTTCTCAAAAGATATCTGTCATACTAAACTTTTGTCTTGATTCTTGTGTCTTAGTCTTTAATTATAGGCTTAAATGTTTATTTGGTTCGTATATTAAGTGATTTTTTTTAGTTTAACAAGTTTTAAAAGTTGTAAAAATTGTATGAATGAAGTCTTATCCGTTAAGTTGACAACAATACGGTTAACTCCGTGCTGGCGAGTGAATGAGTACTTTTTCTCTTCTCTCCACTGTTGTGTCCAACTTTTTCTTTCTCTCGTTTCCAAAAGTTTAAGGGTTTTTCTTTGTTCTGATCAGAAACCCAAAAGGGCTTCTCCCTCTGATTCCGCATATGGGAGGCAACGTTCTTCATCTGGCAACGCAAGGGGCTTATCCAACCCTTCAACCAAGGTCACAACGTCATCCATGCCGGGAGCGCCATCGTCCCTACACTCCTCCTTTAGCGCGCACAAGTTCTTTGAATCATGCTCTCACAGGTGTTGCCACGACAACAACTTGTAAACGGGCAGTGGTGATGTTATAGCGGTGACGCGTTCGTGACCATAAGTGTTGAGTCCATGAAGATCAAAAAAGGAGTAGATCCTCAAGTGTGATTTAATCTTGATTTGATTTGGGAAACTAGGTTTTATGATTTCAAATTTGTATGTCTTTTTTTTTTGCTTGAGAAATTGATTTCTTATTTAGTGTTTTTCCTGTGGAGGTGGCTGTAAATGATGAAGGTTTGACTTGGGGATTTGGTGGAGGTTAGCAGAACAAAAGCAAAAAATTGAATGAAGAAGAATTCTTGATTGAAAGAATTGATTATTACAATATGTAGTGAGTCTCCTTGAACGGCAATTGCAAGGGAAGATGATGGAGGGAATGGATGATTTGGTTAAACAAATGTAGGGATTATGGGCAATTCTCTTTTAGAAGAATAATCAGTGAAAGAATAACTTATGGTGAAAAAAAAAAGAATGAAGATCCACCCCTCATTTGTAGAATTTAGGCATTGTTGTGTCGGTAAGGCTAATTGACTGTTAGAAAAAAAGAAAAGAATGAAATTGGAAACCATTAATATGGAAGACATAGAAAAAGCTGGACACAGCAGAGGAAAGAAGAGAAAAAGTACTGATTCATTCGCCACGTCAGCATGGAGTTGAGGTCGTTGCTGCCAACTTAACGGATAAGACTTCATTTATACAATTTTACAACTTTGAGACTCAATCTATGCACTTTTAAAACCGGGTACTAAATTGAAAAAAAAAATCATTTAACATAGCACCAAGTAAGCATTTAAGCCTTAATTATATGGTGCAAAATTAGGGTTACATATCCTTCTAGTCTTTAAAGTTTGATGCAAAATTGGAATTTGAATCCCAAACTTTGAATAGTTTGGTTCCCAAACTTTAAAAATGAATAAATATAATTATTTTGATCTTCTACCTTACATTTTTTTGACATATTAACCGATGTTTCAAGCCGGTGTTTGAACTATTTATACCATTTGACACATAACTAAAATAATATTTTGGAACATTATGTAAAAAAGAAATTATGTTAAATTTATTCATTTTTAAAATTAAGAGACCATAAAGTATCAAAGTTTAGGACATATACTATTCTAATTTTAGATCCAAGTTTCCGCACTACAAACATGTTTAACTCACAAAATTATATAAGTAACCATGTTTTACAAATCCAAAACCTTTTATTTTTATCCGTACCATTAATATCAATTTATTCAAAACATATTTAATATTGTTTAAAGACTATTTAACATTTTACATTCCAAATACAAAACCTCTCCCATTTGTCCATCTACGTTACTTATTTTAAAATTTTAAAATATTAACAACACAGCTTCAATTAGATCTATTTTAATGTATGTTATGGTTCGTAATGAATATACAGATTCAATTTAAACATTACTTTAATAATTGAATATTTTATTTTATTTTATTTTAATCAATTACGATACGAAATAAATATATTTTCCTTTCCTCAAAATCCCATGAAAAATGTCACTAGTCCGTAGACATTTTGGGTAATAACTATTAGTAAATAAGGTGATCATCATGTGTCAGCAATCATAACTTCTCAAAGTTAATAAAGGGGTTAGTTTCATTTCAAACCATGGAGAAATGTCCTTTGTATCAAATACTAGAACCACTTTTCCTTCAGAATTGAGCATAACCACAACTAATTTTTATATATGAAATCTATTTCCTCAAATGTATTTTGTAGATTTGTTATTGATGTGATTCATTCATCTTGAATTAAAGCGCATCCAGGTTTTACTGCACTTACCTTAGTGGATATTATTTTCATCTGTTCATAAGCAGCTTTGCTTCCAAAAAATTGAGTTCTTATTTTGCTTACTGCAAACGATATTATAAATGATAAGAAATGGGGCATCTCATTGTACACATTACTCCAAAGTAGTGTAGGCTGGATAAGATGCGTAAAAACAAGCATTTGAAGTAAAAATGCCTTCATCAAAGCTTAGGAGAAGTGAAACATGCGTTAAAAAATGTTCATAAGTTCACATCGCTACTACCTTGCACAGATGATGCAACGGTAACACTACATAACTAATGGCCTAATAATACCAGAAATGACTACGGATGGCAGAAGGTGCAAAGCAGTAAGCAACTGTATTTGCAGTTTCTGCTACCATCAAAACATGAACTTAGTTAAAAAGTACTAGTAAATTCACTCACTGAATATAAACCAGAAATTACTTTTGACTCTTCTTTTTCCATAAATCACCAAACATTCTAATCCCAGAACCCTTCCTCTTTCCACCTCCAAAACCATCATCCAAGTCATCAGCCATACCAGGAGACCCCACATAGCCATTGTACCTACCAGCAGGTGTCTCAAACGTTCCACCAAAGTGCTTATCCATTGAACCACACCTTTCAGGAATTCTAGCAGTAATATCAACACCCCCAGCAAGCACTGCAGCTGCAGCATCTGCTGCTTTTCTCCATTGCTCAGTTTGCACCCTTAGCTTCTTCATCTCTGCTTCTAATCCTTCTTTTTCTGCTTCCACAGATTTTAACTTCCCATTCAACTTCTCTGTATTGGCTTTACTTGTTTCCAACTCTTCTCTCAGTCGGTCCAACAGCAAGGACATTCCTTCTTCCTTGGATTGAGCAGTTGACACTTTTGAAACTGCTTCATCCAGTTTGTTCTTCAGATTTTCTTTCTCACTAGTAATGGACTCTAACTCCTTGCCTTTCTCTTCCAAACTGGATTTCAACAATGCAATTTCATCAATCTTCAGTGACAGTTCATGTTTGTCCACAGAAGGCTTTTCCGGCATTGATATTGCTGGTGCATTTGAGTCTTCAAACGGTAGATCTTCCTTTTCTGATTGATCTGCATGTTTGTCGAATTTAATTGTCAACTTCTCAATTGGAACTTCAAACACATCAGTCTCGTGTTGGTTGTCACCCAGTACAATATCTTGGGGTATGGTTTCAGTTCTGTTGGACTCTTGATCATTCTTGGAAGTGCATTTCTCTTGGAACTTCTCAACCACAGGAACTACTGATTGCACAGCTTTCTTCACTAGCTCATCTTGAGCTTCTTTCTTTGCAGCTTCAGCAGAAACTAGCTGATCCTTCAAAACTTTTAACTCTTCTTGTGCCTGACCAAGCTGAGATTCCAAATCTGCGATGCGAGTTCCTAGCTTCTTTTGATTTAGTGCCTCAGATTGAGTACCTCTTGGTGAGCGCCGGTCTCCTAACTTCGGACTTCGGTCAGCAATCAGCCGTTGATGCAATGGATCGGAATCAGAATTTGATGTCCGATGTTGATGAGGACCTCGTGGAGACTGCCTTTGAGGCAAATCAGATCCCCTGGTAGGAAACAAAACTTCATAAAAAAAAACTATATAGAGAAAGAAACTACAATTTAACTAAAGAATTGGTATGTAATTTTCTGGCCTGTCTCATTATGCAGCACATTAGTAACATAATCAAATGACAACATTCTATATAAAACAAGTCACATGTTTCAACAATCTTCACAATGAATTTTAGCCTTCATCCATACATTGATCATGTCAGACATTGTCTATAAAGTTTCTACTTAAAAACTTCGGTTGTGAGGTCAGGTAATAAAGAATAATTGTATCTAACATGAATGGCATGGGCAAATTTCTGAATATCAGTGTGGCAAGAATCAATCGGGGGCTCAAAAAAATTTATTGACCAATTTGACTTTAGCTGATAAGTGAAGGCTCAGAAGTAATTTCATCCTTCAGATGATATATTTCCATTAATCATAAAGATTTTATTCTTAAGAGAAGATGGTGAGTTGTTATAATGTATAGATAGATCAATAAAATTGAAACCTTAGAAAAACCACATATGACTTTGTCAAACGCACCACTATAAGAAGCACAAAGAGTGAGGTGCATTGTTTGGTTGATGAACAAGAAAAAGAGAAAGAATACATAAAATTAAGTTTATAGCAATCGGAAAATGTGAATGTAGAGAAACTAGTATATGGAAGCAGTGGACTATTTTACTACTGCATTAGATTATCACACCTTGATCTTGGCATTTGATATGCTTGAAGACGGCAAATGATGGAACAATGAAAGTTTTCTTTGCTCAAAAAGTCTCTCCTGCTAACCAGAAATGCAAGTTCAAATGATCCAGAGAACTACATCCACTCCAGAAACACCACAAAGATGAAGTATACATAATTATATTTGCAAAGAAAGTGGGCAGAACCTGCCCATGTAGATAAATAAACTGCTACAATATAAAACAATGCACCTTTTATAATTAAAGAAAGGGGTAAAGGAGTAGGAGCATGGAACCTTTTTAGTAAAATATTAAACAGCAGAGAAATGCCAATGAGAAAACATTCGTTGAGATTTCACTTAAGCTGAAAGTTTAAAGCACTAAAAGTAAATGGAGCACTTTCAAGTTTAATAGCAGTTAGGCTTTTATCCTCCTCCAAACCATAATTAGGTAAGAGAAATACAAAGACAAAGAAAATCACAAGGGCCATGCACATTTATGGCCTTGACCCACGTTATCATAAAGGAGCCAACTCACTACAACCGTGACAATTAAACTAAAAGGCAGTTGATTTAAACCTAAGATACCAAAATTTATCTTCCACTAGAAACTAGGACGGTAGATGACCCTTACGGAAATATCATGAGGAGATTTAAAAAGAGAAAAAAAAAAAAAAAAAAAAAAAGACTAATGGCAGCCCCCTCATTGCACACTGGTCCTGTGTTCAAACAATGACATGCTAAAAAAGTATGCCTTGAATACCACCCCGAGAGCAGGAATGCATGCAGGGTCAGAGCCTACTTTATTCAGTGCCTTTTGCTTTGTTTAAAAGCGAGCAAGTGCTGTAAATACTGCATGTGTAAATGTTGCATGTTTAACACAAAGGGAGTAAATGCAACCTAATACAGAGAATGGTCCACAGTTTAAAATTCGGAGACAAATACAAAACCACCACCCCAAGAAAGGCAAAAAAGAATTTATGTGACCCCATGTATATAAGCAACCTGATACTCCTAACAAAGAAGTAACTATTTCACTTTCCCAATAATTGCACCAGGCCCACCACACATTCAAGTGGTTGTATAATGGAGTTGAAAGAGGTGCAACTCAAATAGCAGTCATATCAATGCTTTTTACCTTGGCTTCTGAGATGCAGTCTAAAGTGGTTTGTTGTTCATGGGTCTCTTTTTGAATCAGGAGCTTAGCAATGATGAGAGCCTAATAGCAGCAGCATCAAAGGTTATTTCATCATCAAAAAGAAAGATGGATAACTGTAATTCAAAAACAACCTTGTTAAGAAAGAAATTAATAGTTGAGAAGTTACACAGTCCATGTAACTTATTGAAAAAAGTGTTGGTGAAAGGGCAAGTAGATAGCGTAGGTAAAACAATTATTGAAGGAAAATCAGTATCAAGATCTTGTGTCATTCTGAAAACTGTGGGGACTGACCATCACAAAACCAGAAAAAAGAAAAGCAAGAAATGTTGGAGCCCACGGTTATTTGATAAAAATCTTCTGTTTAACTATTTTTTTCATTATTTTTGCTTCAAAGGACACTTCACAATAATGAAAATTATAATCAGATGGTAGAATATCCTTTCTCTCTGAAACTGTCTCTCCCTTTTAGGAAACCGAACCCATCAAGACCCCACATTATAAAAAGGAATGGCACCACTACCCCATGGTGGATACAGATGCATATGAAGAGAGAGATTCAAATCCTTGTAATCTAGTACTGAACTTGTATCACAAGTGAAAGTTCATTTACCTTTAGCCTTAAAATATAATATGCCAACTACAACTTCTTTTGGAACCAATGCAAGTGAAGACTGTGAATTCTTATGACCAACTATTCTTTCACAATGGATGTATAACGCCAATATTTCATTAAAACATTTGTACTTCTTAAATGTTGAGTTCTAAGCAAGAGCTTATTTTTTAAAAAAATTAATGTATTAAAGAAATTCACATAGCATCAATTTTTATCAGTTGTTCCTTTTCACAAATTTAGCAAAAGTTACAAAAGACAGCATAAAGTAACCTTTTTGTTAAACTTATAAATCTTGCATAAGAACAAATAGATAACATTATAATGAGTATAGTAGAATATGCCCTTTTCACAAACATATAATGTCCATGGCACATATTCAGACGAAGAAAGTAACAACACATCCAAGGGAATAATACATAGATAAAAGCAATTTGTTTGGAAGTTTTGGTTCCTCCAAAGAGCAAGACGATCTTCAATGTCCTTAATACAAATCACATTTTCTTTACTTTTCTTCTCAAATCCCTCCAACACAACACAAATTCTCTACCGCCATGCTCGGCAAATGGGTTTACAGAGAAAAAGAAATTCATGCTATCAAACATAACATAAGACAAATCACACGGATTTAATTATCACGCACTTACTTGTGCTTGAAATGTGAGACTACCGAATATACCAAATTTAGCTAATGTCATACAAAATTTAATAAAGAAAATGGTAGAAAAGTGAATCCAACTTGAAAAACAGTTAATGGTGCACAAACACAATACTGCAAAATGCAATATAAACTTCAATAATGTTACTCAATATAGTAAAATATCGTATGTGAAAAAAAATTACCCCACCAGCAGACATAAAGATCTGAAAAATACTTATGATGCTTTTTTTCCACCTAGTATCAATGATTATTAAATTATTGTTTCCGTTTTGAAGTTTAATAGGAAGCATGTACTAATTAAATATTTAAAGTAACATTTATTAAGTATAATAAATTACTGTATTTATTCGAGTTTAAAAGGCACCATGTAGTAATAACTAAAGATTTAAAAGTATTATTTATTAGTCATCATAAAAGCTTTCTTTAAAGGATATACCAATGAAGTGATTTGACCGATAAAAGACTAATGCTATAAAGAAAAACATTCAAAAGACAAGGGTCAATAACCACTGCACAGTGCAGAGGAACAGTTCAAGGGATAAGATCTTGACAGCATGGTGAAGATTCTCCGAATGTGCGTTCATTTAAGTGTTTGGTAGGGAAGAAAACACTAGAAAACTATAGAAAATTAAAACCTTTGAGGGAAAAAAAGTGAACAAAAATTACACACCACAACTGTGCAGTTGCTGAGGCGAAAATTGCTGATGTTTGTTGAAGGCAAAAGAGTGAAAAAGAACAAATTTCACTATAGATTTTCATTTGTATTTTTATTTTTAAAAAAAGCATTGAGGAAATGTGTGTGTATAAACATGACACAAATGTGCAATACTGTTTCTAGATTCTAGCAGAGTGAAAAAGCTCACCTTTGATGATGAAAATATTTGGAATTAGAGAAGAACAACGGTTTGAATCAGCTAACACTGTTGAAGGATCTGAAAGCATCTCAGGATGAGAGAGTGAACTTCCACCAGAAACGGGAAGAGAGAAAAGCCTCTCAACAAAGACTAAACAGAAAAAGTTGATGAAGTGATTTGGATATGCATATATATTTGAAAAGAAAAAAGTGAGAAGATGTAATGAAGTGAAAAAGACATACCCCAGAAGCAGAAAAGCCGTAGAAAGGCAGAAGAAGAGAGGAAAAATGGGGTTTGAAAGTTTGAATTAAAGCTGTTATGAAACGTGACACTGGGTGGTGTGTATTTATGAGTGTGCAACTTTCAAACTGGCTGGGGGAAGGAGGAAGAGTACAAAACAAAGGGTTATTTTGGGGAAAATGTTTCCAATAATTAATGTCTAATGTTGTGAGTTTTGCCCTCTCGGAAATCTAACTTACACAACAGCTCTTGTCTTTTTGTCACTTTCTCCACAATTCAAAACCTTTCCCACTTTTTTAACATTTTCCTCTTGTTTTCTTCCAACGTTACCTCCTCCACACTTTCATTTCAAAACTCACAACAATTCAAATAATTGTAATAATAATAATCATAATTTAATACCATGGACTAAATTAATCAATGGTTAAAAGTCTTATATCAACTAAAAAGTTAATTTAGAATACATAAATAAATGTAAATCTTATTTTATAAATTGATTTTTGTAAAATTAAACTAAACTTAAATTTTCCTTCTTAATATTAATTTAATTGGTTTTGGGTAATTTGTGTATGAATGAATGGACGAAATCTCTAAACCAAATTGTCACGTGTCTGACAAAGAATCATCCAAGAACAGTGTGGATTTCTCTGTTGTAGTAGTAGTGACTTATTAACAACGTTTCTATTTAATGATTAATTAACAACTAGGCACGAGCGGAACCCTGTTTTTTCAGATTAAAAATTAAGATGTATGAAAACTAGTGTCACGTCACACTAAAATTAGTGTCATACAAATAAAATACTGTTATGTTTTAAGAAAGTAATGTTGATACTCGAATTTTGAATTTGAATTTATAAATAAGTGGTTAGAGTAATTCAATTTCATAAAATTCACTTGTAAAATAAGATTTGTCTCTACTTATAAATTATGAATTAGTTTTATTTTTAGTTTATTTCGGATTTTTAACAAAAATTGTATTGATAATGTATTTATTTCTTTTAAAAAATAAGTCTATAAGAGAACTTTAATTTTTAGAATAAAACGAGGATGATTGTGACATCCCAAAATATATAGCAATGTATATACGTAGAATGCATCGATTATAATAATAGAAAGCAGTTAAGGGTACACAATAGNCATCATGACCGAACGCTAACACTTGCTACCTGAGAGTATAAGACCGAACGCTATTATCACTTAACACATGATCCAGACCGAACGCTAACTAAACCTTCAACTGACCGAACGCTACTAAACCTTCAACTGACCGAACGCTACTAAACCAGCGAATGAACGAACGCTACTAACCAACACCTGAACGATCGTTCCTAAACCATAACTTGAGCGATCGTTACTTAAACCAATGACCGAACGCCATTAATATCATCCCCTAAAACCGAACGCTCTCCAGACAAGGACGAACGCTAATTGCCTAAACCAAAGCATGATTATGACCGAACGCTACTCAGCACATGGCATGACCGAGCGTTCAACTCCGACATGGACGAACGCTCAGTTTGCGCATTCTGCAGAATTTAATTCTGCAGAATTCTCAGAATCCTGCAGACTGTATCAGAATCTCCCTTGACCATTTCTAACCACTTTTCTCAACTTCTTAGACTCTTAATTCTCGTTTTAGGCTTAATTAAACTTATCCAAATGATTCTAAACATTTCCACTACCATTTTTAAGTGATTAAAGTTCACTCTCAGCCCCAAAACACTAACTTCAACAACTTAGGGACCCAAAACCCAATCTTACCACTTTGCACCTATCTTGACCAATTTAGTGACTCAAACAAGTCACAATACAGTGGGTGAAACTGTCCCCACAGTCCAAAAACATGACCAACCTCATTTGCTCAAAATCACTACCTCACTTCCTCTAAAATGACCAAAAAGTGACCCTAAGACACTTGATTTTCCTTCCTATCAACACCACAACAAATTTTCCACACCAAAGCAGTTCCAACATACATAATTCATCACTCAAAATCATCCCAAACAGTTCATATCCATCAATCACCAAATTCACATAACACTCACACTTCCATACATGCATTTCAAGTTAGCAAAATCAAAATTATGCTTCCAACAACATACCAATTTGAAAATCATCATGCATTCACGTCATCCAACTAAATCGAAAAAGAAGAACTAGCTCCCCTTACCTTAAGTGTAGACAACCAAGCTCAAGTAGGAACCCTAGACCACTTGCTTGCACTTTCAAAATGTTAGAATCACCTATAAATCATCAATTGATGATAGAAAACGAATCTTAGCACCACATAGAAGCTAGATTATGGAAGAAAACGAAATGGGTTGCATGCAACAAGTTCAATCACATGCTTACAACCCTAGGGCACATGAGAAAGGGGGTTTTCTTACCGGTTCAGATTAGAGAAAATTGATCGACTAAGAGCAACACCCGCTACTTTGTGATCGTTGGGGCAGCACCTAATCGAGAATTTAATGGTTCAGTGTGAAGAATGGAAAGGGAGAAGATATAGGAGGAGGAGAGAGCTTGCAGGAAGAGGAATGGTTTCTCAGACAAGAGAAATGAGTTAAAAATCAATGTTTCAAAACTAATGTAATTTTATTTTAAAGTACTCAACCTCTCATCTTTTGCCACTTGTCATCCCCTTTTTGCTGACTCAAATCCAAGTCCTTACAATGATGGTTTATGAAATATGTATTTTTTAAAAATACTAATTATAACTAATATATATAATAGACTTATGTTTTTATTAAAATAATATTTAATTAGAAAATGTAATAAAAATTACATAATAATAAATGATAATTAATATATCAAATTATTAAAATTTAATTATTATAAATAAATGTAATTTAAATAAATATAAATTGAACTTATCTATAATAAAAAATACTTAAAAATAATCTATTAAACCGTATTATTTAATATACTTATTAAATAGAATAAGTAAAAGCAATGTCAAATATAAAACTCTAGAATTATTATGAGTGGATTTTGTTTTATTTTTAATACCAAACTGAGGAGAGAAATTTAATTTCCACTTAATTGGTGGACTTCATCCTTTTACAAACTTTGGGATATAAAAATTTTATCCGATGTAACGTTTATCTAATAAGAAAACCAATATGTTAATTTTTAACAAAGCAATTTATCATATATGATACCGCAGAGTTCGAGAATAGTTTGATAAAGAAATAAAATTTTGGTTTGAATACATTTTTCTCCCCCGTTTTTATTTGAGGATTTAAAAGTGTTTTCTAATTATTATTATTATTCTCCATTAGATCTTAATTTTTAAATAATTGATGTAATTTGGCTTTTTATAATACCAATAATGTTAAAGATATCCTTAGAGATATATCACATATCATTTGTGGTTTTTTGTTTTTTATTTTTTATTTTTTTTATTTATTTTTTAATATTCATATGTCAAGTAAATATTGTATTACATGATACTTTCAGGTTTTATTATCTTAATTTCAATTCATTTCAAAATAAAACAATTTCATACTTTTCAAATTGGAACGAATTTAATTTTTATATAAATGTTATACTATTATTTTTATAAAATATTTTCAAATTTATTTTTAACTTTAAAAGTATTTTTAACTAAATTAAGTTTATTTAAATTTATGTTTTACATTATTGAATTTTATTTAAATTTTGCTTTAAATTTTTAAATTTATTTCTACATATATATTATTAATCATACTTTAATATTTTTTTATTTGAATTTATATTTAAAAAATATTATATAAATTTATAAATAATAAATATCAATATAACATTTAATAATTTATGTTAGTGTTGGTTTAAAAATAATTTCAAAAATACTTAATAAAAATATTAGTATAATATTTATATAAAAATTAAATTTGGTTTAAGTTGTAAAAAGACAAAACTACTCCATTTAAAAAAAATGGGATTCAATTAAATCAAAATAATAAATATAGTAATTAAATGGAAATTAAGACAATGACAGGTGTTAACAATCACACATAACACTGATAATGTCATTGTCACGTCACATTGTCACTACCACCTGGTCTAAACTCTTAAGTGATGTAAGACTATTAGAGTACTAGAACAAGTTCCTAGTCAAGGACTAAGGGAGTTTCATATGGAAGCTCCTTCAACAATGTTGATGAAAACTCCTTGATGAAGTAGATGAAGGCGTGAAAACATGAAGATTGAAGGTTCAGTGGCTTGATGGTGGTGGTGTGATATGCATCCTAGAAGAAGGTTGGACCAACCTTAAAGAAAAAGGAAGAAGAAGTCTAGAAAAGAAACAACTCCAGTTGAGAACTAAGAAAAGTGAGTCTTGCAATTTTGACAAAGTTTTACTAATATCATTCAAGTTCTAAGAAAATACAAGAAGGGTGCTTCTCCTTTTATAGTTGAAGGAGAGAGCTAGAGTACATGCATTTGAAAATAGCCTAAAAGCTTCTTTGGCCAAAGGGGGATGGATGAGAGTCTTTTGTCTCCTTTTCATCCAATCACAACTTGCCTCTTTTTCGGCCAATCACAGGCAAGGGAGCCTTTCTCCAAGTACCGTAAGGCTTTAAGCAAGCCAAAAACATGTTGAATCACGTCCCATGCAAGCCCAACTCAAGAAACAAGCCCAAACATAATCTTGTCAACTCTGATCTTATTTGAGTTTTTTACCCATAACTTTTTCCATAGAGCTCCAAATGATATTATTCTTCTTTTTAGAAACTATACTCAAATAACTTTCCATTGATTATAAGCATTTATCTTTTGGACCTCGGAACTAGTTGCAGTTGAACTTCAAAAGTCTTTGACGTGACAACAAGTCTAGAAATGACAAGATGTCTTGGCCAAAATACAAGGCCCAAAACAAAGACTTATGTACATATTTACAATGCCTAAGAGAAAGCAAGAACAAGCTTGAAAACACCATCTTCCACAAGAGTAAAAATCCTTAAAGTCCTTCTTCTTCTTTTATTCTCATAGTCCTAGCTTAAGTTGTAGCTCTCTAGATGGATCTCGATCAAGCTCTCAGGATGGTTTTCATCAGTTTCCATCCCCAAAGATGACGCTAATGTTATGACCTCAAGTCTATTGAAATAAATTCATTAAGGTCAATCCCCGTGTTTAAGGTATTGACCATCTTGAAGCTTGGAACTCTTTCATGACTTTCCTTACAAAGTGTCTCGAAGGGTCAAACGTGAAAAGTGTATTTAAATTACCCTTAGCCTCAACCCTTAGACGATGTGGGATCATTGAATGTACCAAAATAAATACTAAATAAATTGTTAGTTTATTCTCTCAATTGAACCATACTTGTGATATTAGACTCGTACCGGTCCAATCATCAACTTAGCATTATAGTATATTTGCAAGTACTTCCACTAAGAAAACTAAATGAGCTAAAATGAAGAATTGAAGATTTTAAGTACAAAAATAGAAAACAATAAAAGTTCAAAGTTAACGCAATGAAAAGTAAAAGAGGGTTGTGCAAATGAAATCATGTAAATGAAAGCTGAAAAATGAATACATTAGATAAGAACAAAAAAAAAACATTACACAACTAAAATAAGAGCATTAGACGATACAACGTAAAAGCACTAGACAAAAGGTAGACATAATAATTACAAGAACATTAGACAATACACAACAACACACATTAGCAAAACACTTGATTAACCACGAAAGGAGTAAGTATATTAATGTCTATTTTCATTTTATTCGGGAAAAAGTTAGGAAAGAAAGTGTGGATCTTGAACATGTAGGAGTACATGAAGCTAATCATGATGTAGGAAGAAAGAATTTAAATTTATATAAGAGTTTTATTAGATAAACTTAAACTGTGAAAGGTAATTTTATAATTTCGAGTAATGTTTTATTTTTCAGAGTCACATATTTGTTGTACCACATATAAATTTTATTCTTTGCTTCAATTTTGATTCTTCGGTTGTAGAGCTGGATCCCGCTAGTTTTTTTTTCAGTGTTATTACATGTTAGTTGTTATATTGCACTGATGTAATCGGCACAAGGCCTATGACGACTATTTAATAGTCTTTTCACAATCAATGGTTGTGTACACAGAATTACATTGCATCTATCTTTAGTGTGTACAGCGTTTTAGTCCAACATTTTCAAATTAGAGTTTTCTAAAAGAAAAAAAAGCATCAAAAGAATGCATATACCGATTATTTTTATTTCATTTTCTTCACATATATTCTGTCTCAAAATTGCACATATAGCTCACTCATCACATATATTTTTTCCTCTCATGTCATGAGGCTTCTTTCTTTGAGGGTTTATAGAATGTTTATAAATCATTTAAGGTGCTTCAAACCATACTTATCCTTATTGTGACATAGCTTAGTTAATAGAAAATAATGGAAGGTTTTATTGCTGAAACAATAAATGAAGAAGGACCACGCATACTCTTTTTTATTCCTGAAACAAGAAATGGAGAAGGAAAAAACGCTACTAGAAAAGTAGCATTCTATGACAATTTATTATGACAGGTAAAAATCACCGATCATAAAAGGTTGTAATAAAAAAACGTATTATGACGTATCTCATCAGTCATAATATTTAACGCGGTGACAAAATAGTAAATAAGTGCAAAACGTATTATGATGTATCTCATCAATTACAACTTATTATTATACTAGTTGATCCTTGCAAAATCAAGAGAGTTTTTTCCAGCATGAGCATTCCCAAAGAAATTGTTCATGTAATCCTGGAGCACAACTTCTCTGTAGCGGGCCAACCCATCTTTCTCCACCACCTCTGGCAATGGACCTATTCTTTCTGTAGCTATTGGCATTGTAAACACCGGAACCGATACCCTGGATTGGCTGCTAGTTGTCCTTACTCGGTGTTCAGCACTCTTATACTTCCCATTGCTCAGTATCTTACATTAATTACCATAAACAAAGCACATCAACAAAATAGTATATATACTGCTCATGTATTTTTTTTTAATCATAAACTACTATGCTGGTTGCTTTTCCGACTAATACTGGACTCTATTATCTTAAATAAAGTTTCAATATACTATGGGATGAGAGATTGATTACTCAAATTTTTTAATGATTTATGAATAACAGGTTAATGTTGTACCAATGACATGGTTAAAGAAAATTACTAAATTGCATTAGTTTATGTTATTAACTGTTAGTTAAAATAAATATTTTGTCCTCAAATTATTATAAAAAATTATATTTCATTTTGAATTAAATGCCAAACAAATCGTATATGTTATATTATGATTCAATGTAAAATTGGTCACACATGTGTACACCACATAACATGCCGTTTGTTGGGATGACTTTTATAAAAACAAAGATTAGATACATTATAATTTAATTTAAAAATAAAATATAATTATTTAAAACAATTTGAAAGTAAAAAACATTTAATCTTATTACTAATTACTATTAGTAGTGAAAAATTTAGTCCGTCTGTAATACTTGTCTACTAACTAATCAGAAGTTGCTTTATCCTTAAAAAAAATTATATAAGTAGCCAAGAAATCCCACTTATACAGTAAGTGAATACAAGTGAAATATTTGTTATCCGAAAAAATATTCTTTCACGTGCTTAAATTTTTTATATTTATTTGATATTATTTTTTTAATCTTTTTATTCTTTTCTTTTTAAAAAAGTATAAAAATTTATACTTTTATAACTATTTTATTTTTTAATATGTTATGTAAAAGTGTTATAATAACGTTATTTTTGTTATAAATTACCCTCCAGTATTAAACTGGATTTTGATTATTTGAAAATTTTGAGTTGTTGTTGTGAGATTTTAGGGTATCAAACCTGTAAAGTATCGCCAATATTAATTACAAGAGCTCCAGGGATTGGGGGAATTTCCAACCACTGTCCTTTGTCAGCAGGATTTTGTTGGTCCACCTTGACATACAAGCCTCCAATGCCATCTTGGAGCAGTACTGTGATAGCTCCCATATCAGAGTGACGCCCAACACCCACTGTAAGCTCTGGATTTGGGCACGCTGGATAGTAGTTCATGTTAACCATCTTCATTCCAAGAAGGCCATCCATTTCTGAATCTTTTAGTGTAACTCCGAGCTTACCGATCAACGCTTCCACAATGTCTCTAACCATCTTAGTTGATAACTTCAAATACTCAAGTGCAACTTCCCTGAAAAGAAGAGAGAAGAGATAGTTGAAATGTTTAAGAACTGAACACGAATAGACATCGTATCAAAACTATACATGAGATTAATCTCACTTTTCTTAAATACACACATAAAATCATCTATTTATAATAAAAGAAACATGTACTAAGTTCAAAATATAAATAAAAAATAATCAAAATTAACTAAAAATATAAAAGTAAATATATAATATATCTAACAGGTAGAAGGAAAATCATACTTGCACTGATTAGGCCAACACTGAAGAGCTTCTTCATCACTGTTAAATGTCATACTGATATAGTCTTTCCACTCCAAAGCCTTCTCTTTCTCTGGCACAAAGCTAGTCCCATATTTTACCCTGGGGCTAGGGCTCACCCCAGTGCAATAAACAGCTTTCTTTTCTGGTGGCAAACTGAAGAATGTGTGTGCTGCATCTTTAAGCGATTCCAGCAACTCCAAAGGCACCCCATGATTCACCACCTGAAAGAAACCAAGAGTTTCAGCTGCTCTAGCAATCTCATCCACCACTTTCTCATGCTCTTCTCCATTCAGTTTTGACAAGTCAATGGGTGGAGCATCACATGCCCTTGAATCATGCTTGTTGATTCGTTCGCCTGGAGGTTGTATGTACCTCTCTGGCACCTCTGACACACCAGAGTCTACCAAACCTTTCACACCATTGCCGGCTCTCACCACAAAATCATACAGCGAATTTGAGGAGTTGAATCTTAGAGCCATGCAGTGCAATTTGCTTATAGACTATGGTTTTGGCAAATCAAAAGTTCAGTAGAAATTGCTGTGATCAGTGCAAAGGACTATCCTATATATATATATATATTAGATGTGTGGTTGGTAATGTTCATGTGAATAAAGAAAAACTCTTTGTTCAGCAAGATTCATGACTTCGAAGAAAGTAAACGTGTTTAAAAAAATCAACCACTAGGATATGGTAATATAGTATATGTTATATATAATAATAAATATCTTTCATGACTAACAGCCACATTAATTAAAACTACAATCAATTTTATGGAATTTGATTTCAACGGGTAAAACAGAACAGAAAAGAAATTAATAAATATTGTGTTTAGAAAAGTCAGTTTGATAGGGTAAAGTAGTTTTCTTGAGAACTTAAAATGTTTTACGACAAACTAAATAGTTTAGGTAACAAATTTGATTAGAATAACTACTTCAAATGAGAGAGTTTTAAATTAAAAAAAATGAAATTTTATTTTAAATTCTTTATATTCTCAACATATTTTTATTTTTGTAATTTGTGTAATTTTTGTCAATCTAGGTTTAGGTCAATCTAGTTCAACCTAAATCCATTACACTTAGTTCGATCTGAGGTGACATCCACTCAACCCTGTTTGACAAAGCTTCAACCTAATGAAACAATAAGTCTAGCTTGACTTTTGACTTGGTATGTCTTAGTCCCACTTGAGCTCAACTTGACCCGATGTAAACTCGATCAAACTTGACTCGACATGGGTATATCCCAATTCCACTGAAACGAGAACACACTCTAACTTGACTTGACTTGGATCCAAGTCTACTCGGCTCAACTAGCGTAGACAAACTTACTTGAACTTGAGTCGATTCGGCTTGACCAACTTGGACTAACTAGGCTCAATCGAGTTCGAGTTGACTAAGCTTGATCTGGATCAAGCTTGACTTGGGTTTAACTTAACCTAGGCTTGACTTGACATGGTCTCTATCTGGTTAGGCTCAATTTGGTCTTGATTCTTATTGTGATTTATTTTTATCTATGTTCGTGAGGTTAGATGAATGAATCACAACAAGAATCAAAAGAGTAAACAAATTTATTCATCTAATCTCATAATCTTATTAAGAAATTACAACACAATCAATCTCAAAGACTTATCACTCCATGGAATGTGGAAATAAAATGAAAATAAAAGAACAGAGGGTGGAGAACATGAGAGAAGAGAGAAAGAGGACAAAATTTGAACCCCGAATGGGTTCCTCCAAGATCCCCTATTGTCTTTCCTTTAGTTTTTTTATATAGAAATTAGACTGAGCTTTGTTTTGTGCTTTTCTGTTATTATAATCTCCTTTGGATAATGTAATATCCTCTAATTATCTTCTAAATAATTCAATATCTTCAAGATATATTTGATTGTTTTGGAGATCTAAAAATATTTGAGAATATCTTTTCTAGATTCAAAAAAAAATTGGAAAATATTATTTTTTGGTATTTACTGATATAGTTAAATAAAGTAATTATTTAACAATATCAAATAAAATATCTTAAGATATATTTTCTCCAAATTGTCTTTTATCATAAACATTTATCATTTATCAAAGCCTTTTTTTTGTAGAAAAAATAGAGAAAACCGCAAGAGTCAATTTTTGTTGTTTGTTCCTTTTTCTTGGCTTAACCAAAATTTTTCACTTTTTCATGTTATGCTTTGTTTGACTTCTTGTGGTCTTGATTATTGGCTATTCTTAGATTTATCTCTAAGGTGTCATGAAACATTAACCAATTTATTTCCACACCTCAATGAGCTCAGCTTAGTTGCAGCTGCACTAACATACATCAAAATATCCAAAGAATATTTATACAACTAAAAATCTATTTTTATCATATTTTTGTATCTCATGCTTAATAAACCAATTATAACAGATTATAATTAAAATATTCTTTTAAAGTACAAAAACTAATTAAGAATCTAAGATTAAAGGCTAAATGAGAGCATAAATATGCACTCATCAGTAATAAAACAAATGATTAAAGATGATAGGTGGTTAGCCACAATGATGACAATCTCCTTAGCTAGGTTGAGGCAAAGCTAGAAGAGAAAGCCATGGTGAAAGGTGGAGGGTGAGTGTTTATGGAAGTTGGTGGAAATGAAGGCTAAGCTCACGATTTAGTGTGGTTTATGGTGATAAAGGTGATGTTTAATGATTCTCTAAGAGAGGTTGGGCTAAATCTTGGAGGAAGGGGGCTAGAGGAGGTCAGTTGTATTGCTATAGCCTAGGATGACCTAATAAGAGTAGTATGACACAAAATTGGCAGCATAACAATACTCTGAATCAAAGCTAAATACAAGAGTGAGAGACACCTCTATTTATATGCTAAAGGTGTCTATAAATTGTAGAAGCAAAACCTAAAAACCCTACATTGGCTAACTTGGAGAGCAAGGAGAAAATCCTCTCCATTAGGAGAAGGACAAGTGGCGAATATCCTCTCTAATGAGAAGAGGACATGTGGCCACTACCTATGAAGAAACCTCTTAATTCCTAGAGTGACATGTGACCACTAACTAGGAAAAAAAACTCTCCAAAGGGAAGAAGAAATATGACATAGTAGATTCACTCTTCTTATCCACCAAGTTAGACGAAAATTTTGACCCTTTAGTCAAGTAAGCCAAATTTGTGTCCCACTTTGGTCAACATTGGGCCTTGGCCCTTTGTTAACTTGAATGGTCAAAACCCTATTCTACTTGACCTAAAATGTTAAGAGACAAGTTCGTCTATAGAACCATTGGTTTTGAAGTTTAACTAAACAACATTAAATGAAGAAGTCTCGTAGAATGGAAAACAAACACCAAACGCTAGGATAGAAACCCTAAGTTAGAAAGAATAGATATCCACACAACAAGTCTAATCCAATGGAAAACAAACATCAAACGCTAGGACAAAAACCCTAAGTTAGAAAGAATAGGTATCAACACAACAAGTCTAATCCACCAAGAAGAAAAGATGTAGACGATCTTCTGATATAGAAGTCTAACACCAGGAAATCACTATAAGGTCCAACTAGGCTATGAAACTAGAAACATAGGAGAGAAAAACATAAACACTAGCTGGATACAACATAAGAGAAACAAAATTAGACTAGCTAAAGAAAACCTTAAGAAAACACTTAAGAAACAATAAGATTGAAGAAAAACACAACATTGAAATTATGCCAACTTAGGAAAACACTTAGGATTGTTGAAAATAGAAAAACAACTAAGCCAAAAGACTTAGACACAATGATAAATGACTGATAAGTCAAAGCGTTTAAGGGAGTAAGCTTACTATACCCAAAGGGTATTCGATTGAACTTTCGGGTAAACGAAAAAGTTTCAAGACAATGTCTTTGACAAAAACACTATAAAAGCCTAAACTTAAAAACACAACGGAAAACATAACATGCTAAATGTTATTGCTCTGAAAAGGCAAAATCACAAAAAATGTTTACATCAGTCTAAACGATACCATGAGTTAAACTGTTACTTCGTCCAACAATGGGGTTCCTACTCAACGATTGATATCTTTAAAAGAAAAGCTTAATTATTAAACGTTACCTCAAAAGTAGAAAATAAAAAGCATTTTGTTGTTTTGAGCAAACATTAAATAACATTAAATGATCAACGTAAAAAAAAGTGATATATGATGAATGAAATACACACCAAAACCCTAAACAGATCATTAGTAGGTAAGACATTCATGAAATATTCTTGTTTTAGAAATCATGACACTATACAACCTACGTCTAACAAATTCCAAAAATAACAAGTAAAACACTAACCGAGAAGAAGTCTCTTACAGACTAAACGATGTCAATTACACTCACAAATATAATAATAGAAAACATAGGATCTTGAACAAACGTTGAAAGCATTAAATGCTTGATGTTAAAAAACATAAAAAAAAACAAGAGGTAGGACATACATGCTCTACAAACTTTTGTTCTATCTTGTGGAGGACAATTACTACAAGTGTTCATTTGGCTCATCCTATAAGAACACAAAAAAAATGAACATTGGGAAGAAGAAGATAAAATAAGAATGATCCTTTCATCAAAAGCTGAGAAGTCAAATATGTTTTTGATAAAGTTATGAAAAATATATCTACTTTAACAAAAACACTTCATCCTATGCTAGACATCTACACCAATGTATCACATGTTGCATTTTTAGCGAGGTACAGAAGGAGCACGTTTAGCAAAGATATCGTTGAATGATGTGTCTATTGTTCACGATAGCGCATTTCTAAAACATCATTTAATAGTGCATTTACTGAAGTATCATGCTTTGACCTTTTCATAGTAAAACATCATTGCGTCTACTATCAATAGGATCATATGGTCTTACCGCATTTACTGAAACTTTTCTTTATTCATTCAAATACTGTAACGTTTGTTTCATATGATGTCTTTCATTCAACGATATTATTTTTGTAGGGATAGTACTTTGTCAAATACTTATTTTGTTTATCGTTGTTTGTTAAATTTCAAAACATGAAAGTGTTAGATTGTTTTGTCTTATAGACGATCTTGTCTTAACATGTATAACTTCTCTTATACCATAGATGAATAGATGATCACACATGCTGTCCAACTTTTCACATATTTGATTAAAACAACGAACACAAAGACAAAAATATGTTCTGTACACAGGGTGTGCGAGTTCTTGAACATATTATAAGAACTCGAAAACTTCGTTTTCAAACTCTTGACTTATACGACGTTTATTCATGTAGCTTTGATCCATACTATTTTAAAAAAGCATATAAAAAAAAGCCAAAAATCACATTAAAAAATTTATCTAACTTATAAGAAACATACAAATATCAAACAAATAAAAGAAACAACACGTGAAAAACGCTCATACAATAACACAAAATTGACCTATGTTTTTTCTTACACTCGTGAACAAACTGATTGGTTCACTTTGGGGGAATGAAGTTTCAACTTGCATAAGGTCATCAATACTAAATGAAAACAT